GGCGATCTGCTAATTGTTGAAGGATATGAAAAGAATCTCATGTATGTCACTCCCAAGAGGCACTGCTTGGCTACAGCATAAGCTTGGAGGGTAGGTACACTTAAACAGCAGAAATCTACCTCAGCCCCTTCTAATCTCACTCCTATCACTTCTCTGCCTACTTCTGTTAATGCCACCACCAGCTCCCCTTTGACCAATCCACCTCAAACCTGTCCCTGTATGGACATGACCCTACTGGATAGATATGATGCATGGCCAGTTCAGCTGTTGGATTATTATGCTCTGACAGAAGCCAATCTAAGATTTTGGCATTTTAATTATTACTCTCCTGATGACTCTAACCTGCCTGACACACTGGCCCTCACTAAGTGTTATGGCTGTGTCTAGATGTCCCCTAAAGTGTCATGCAGTTGTAGGTGGTGTTTTTTATTTTTATTTTTGGTACCGGGGATTGAACTCTGGACCTTGTGCTTGCGAGGCAGGTGCCAGAACCACTGAGCTAAATCCCTGGCCCAGGTGGGGCTTTTCAGAGGTGGCTGAATCCAGAGTGTGTGATTGATTCATGGTGCAATGTTAGACCCGAAGGCACTAGGATTAAGGGAGTGAGTGCTGCCCACCCTAAGTAGTCTGAAGAAGATAAAAGGGGGAGAAAGATGCTGTTAAGGTCTCTTGTTGCTTTTGCTACCTTGAACTGTTGTTCTCCTCTTCAATGCCCCTCTGCCATGTGCCACTCTGCATTGCAGCCAGCCAGCTATGGACTGAAACCTCTACAAAAGCTAAATAAAGCCTTCAATTATACACTAAATAAACCTTTCCTCCTTTAACTTTGGGTGTTGGGTATTTTGTCTCAGCGACAAGAAAAGTAACTAAGACACCAAGCAACATAAAACTCCAAAAACTGGCTGACAATTTCAAGACACTAGAGACACACACCAGACATTCCTTACAACTCATTTCTCAGTACACGGACAACATACATGAGTTAGACGACCTAGTTCAGGTTGCCAATGCTGAGTTTAACACTGACTGCTCTAGTGGTCCTGACTTTAACCGTTGGTGTAATTCCAGCACTGGTGCATTGAGCTGGATAAGTTTTTGCACCTGTTCAGGCAAATGATAGTCGGGCATTCTTTGGTCATGGATTTTGTGGACTTGGCATAGTTGATAGAGTGGTTTAACATCCTCCCCTGATGAAATACTGATTATTGTGCTTTATATTGTATTTGGTTTTTTTTCATTTAGCTTTGTACTGCTTCACAAAACCTAGAAAAAGTAAATCTGCCAGATATCTTGTTTGATTCCCTTCCACATCTTTCAACGCACACCTCAAGGTGTGAGGGGGTGGGATGATGTGAGCAGGACAGAAGCCATCTGTGCTCCTGTCTGGCTTCAGACTGGCTTCCTGAGGCTACACCAACTTATGATAACCACAGGACCGGTGTGCCTGTGGGATAACTCGTGTGGCAACTGTACTGTGTGATAACCACACAGCCTGTGTGCCAAAAACTTATCTTGTGAATCCCTTTTGATAAACTTATAAAAATGTTTTCTAAAAAATATATTTTTACCATAAAGAGAAAAATATTTTTATTGCTACAGGATTAGTGTGTTATTTGTACACTCCTCTAAGATTAGCACATGTTGTTTGTACTGAATTCCTCACATCGTAAAAGAAGCCTCGCGCTGCTCTGGGGCTGGGTCTTCTGGCTCTGTGCTTGTGGACTCTGCCCTGGGCGCTGCTCCTCGCAGAGCTGCCGCTCTCGAGGTCTGCAACTGTCTGTGACTGTCACCCTGCCTGTCCCGAGCGCCTGGTCTCGTGATGGCTGTGAGCTCCAGTGCTGCCTGTTGGGCCTGCTGTGTTCCCATGGTGTGTTGGCTGAGTGGAAGGAAATCCTGCACCATCTGCCGCCTCCAGCTTCCAGCTTCTGCAGTGTGTGAGCTCCTCTGTCTTGCTGTGAATGTGATAAATGCTCAATAAACCACTGCATTCGGGAAACTGCTCGACTCTTGGGATCTTGGTGTGGCAGATGTGCGCATTCCTTTTGGCTCCTCTGAGCCCCCAGGTGGCCTAACTCAGAGGCCCTTTTGGTCTCGAGAGTGGCCTCTGTGTCCACTCGTGACACCAACCATCTCAATAGCTTCATCCCTACCATCCAATGTAGCACTGTCTTCCCCTCTCTGGGCCCGGATGGGAGGTAGTCTGCTCTAAAAGATCTCACCAGATGGGCAAAGGGTTTCCCTTTCTTGGCCCTGTGTGTGCGCATGTGTGTGACACGCTCATGTTCACGCACACATGTGGGTCCTGGTGCAGGCAGTCCGGGCCACTTTGCCCTTCCAATCTCGCATCCTCATGCTCTGTCCCCCCAAAGCCCCAAATCACACCCACTGCTGGCCTGACTTTCCCGATCCTGTCTGCCGTGTCTGTCTGCAGGATGAGGTCAATGTGTGGCCGTTATCTATCTGTTATCGAGTTTGGGTCAGTGGGTATTTACTGGGATGAGGGCCCTGTGTGTCTGCGTGTGGAATACACACGCTCAGCGGGCCTGGCTCCAAGGACATCCTACACCTGCGCTAGCAGGGTTAGGGTTAGGGTTCGGGCTGTAACAGGGACAGGACGCAACTGGCCCCGGGGCTCACGACTCACACACCTATTTGTGGTCTCCCTGGTAACCGCCTATGAATCACGTTTTGTCCCTCTTGGCCAGGGCCGCCCAGCCCACGGTACAGTGACTGAAACTACCTCAGGGAGGGCGGAGCCACGCCTCCTGTGGGTCGTCACGAAAGGAATTTCACGCCTGGAAAAAGCCCTGAGGGGCTTGGAAAAAGCAATTACAAAACATGGTAAAAATCTAGTCTGCAAAACACACATGACGTTGCATTTACAGTTTTAAACTCTGACTCAGCAGGCTACTTCCAACTCAGTACTTTATTCCTTTGCCCAAAACTGACAAGCCCAAAACTTTTTTTTTTTTTTTTTGGTACAGGGGATCGAACTCGGATTCTTCCGCTTGCAAGGCAGGCGGCAGAACCACTGAGCTAAATCCCTGGCCCCACCAAAATTTAATTTTTACTGAAGGATTTGGGATAATCTTCTATTTTTCTGTCGAGTCCTGAAATATGCATCATTACGAAACCGCTCCAGATGTGATCTCTGTTGAAAAGTTCACGTTTTGTCCTATAAGGAGAAGGCTAGGACAACCTTTGGGGAACAAGAAACCCAACACATAAAGGATTTATTTACTCTTGCTCTTGCTCCCGGGAGACATCTGCATTCTTCGGAGGTCTAGTTAGGCGCCCGGGGGAAACAGCTGAAAGGGGACATTCATGTGGTGTCCGGCGTTCGCCCCGCTCATCTGGGCGGATGAACCCAGTTACCCCGCGGGTAATGGGGCGGCGCGGGGTCTCACTTCCCGGAGCCCCACCCGTGGGCAAGGGCGCGATCGGGTGGGGCCGTCACCTTCGTGGCCTGGCCGGGCGGCGCGGAGGGGCCGGGCTCGGCGGCGCTGAGGGGCGGGAGGGAGCGAGGGGAGGCCCCGGCCCGGCCCGGCCCGGCCCCCGCCCGCGCTGATT